TTTTTTAAATCATTAAACTGATATATTTTGCTGAAAAACATGGTAATGGTATCTGTAAATTAAAAAGGTTGTTTCTTCTGCATTCATACTAATGGTCAGGTCTTTGTGTTCTATTGCTCTGTTTTCTGTTGTGCAGTAACTGTCACCAAATGTCAGTATCTGTAGCTCAAGTAGTTTATCTGCCTTTCCAAGCTTTTCATGTTTGAAGGCTGAAGGAAACCCATGTGATCATTCTGACTTATTGTGATTTATGACCTGTAGCATTTAACCCAGTAGTGCTTGGGTCAAGTCAGGTAGCCTATGGTTTTATTCAGCTGAAAAAAATACTGATTATAAGGTTACTTCATCAAATTCAAATGTACCTTAAATCTTAAAAATACACTTTCCCTCTGTATTTCATATTACCAAATGGGGAGGAGTTGGAATGACACAACGGATGGACTGGAGGGATGACATGGAATTAAACTCTAAAACATGATATGCTGAATACATTCAGTCTAGTAGTGCATCTTTGATAGCTGATCAGAACAACTGATCTAATAATATGAAAACACCTATTTTTTTTAATACTTCTAGTTAGGCTGTTTTGTTATCTAGATGCAGTATTTTGGTGAATGATAAAACATTGTCTGTTCTGCCTCTTGACAGGATCTCTGGTATGTCAGCAGTTCTCATTATCCTCCTTAGTTTTCCTGTTGTGAAAGAGATGTGGTAGCTAGTGGATATCCCTACCACTATCTTAGAAATGCAGCCTGTTAAAGACAGTGATGATTACAGAATAAATGACAGGTCTAAGGAGCATCACAACAGTTCCCAAGTACAGTGAACTACAGGCCTGTCAGCCTGATCTTGTTGCCGTGGAAGATTATGGAGCAGATCATCTGGAGTGCCATCATGTGGGATGTACAGGACAACCAGGTGATCAGTCCCAGTTATCGTAGGTTTAGGAGGCAGGTCCTGCTTGACTAATCTGATCTCCCATGACAAGGTGACCCGCTTAATGGATGAGGGGAAGGCTGTGGACATTGTCTACATAAACTTTAGTGAAGCCTTTGACATTTTCCCCAAACATTCTCCTGGAGAAACTGGCTGCTTTTGGCTTGGATGGGTGTATTCTTTACTGGCTAAAAATCTGGCTTGATGGCCATGTCCAGAGAGTGGTGGTGAATGCAGTTAAATCCAGTTGGTGGCCAGTCACAGGTGATGTTCCCCAGGACTCAAGTGTTGGGATCAGTTCAGTTTCATGTCTTTTATCAGTGATCTGGCTGAGGGGACCAAGGCCACCCTCAGTAAGCATGCAGATGACACCAAGCTGTGTGGGAGTAATATCTTTTATCAATGATCTGGCTGAGGGGACCAAGGGCACCCTCAGTAAGTGTGCAGATGACACCAAGCTGTGTGGGAGTGTTAACCTGTTTGAGGGTAGGAGAGGTCTATAGAGGGACCTGGACAGTCTGGGTAGGTGGGCTGGGGCCACCTGTGTGAGTCTCGGCAAGGCCAAGCGGTAGGTCCTGCACTTGGGTCTCAGCAATCCCATGCAAGGCTACAGGCTTTGGGAAAGGTGGCTGGAAAGCTGCCTGGCAGAAAAGGACCTGGGGGGGTTGGTTGACAGATGGCTGAATAGGAGCCAGCAGCGTGCCCAGGTGAGCTTCCTGGCTGGTGACTAGGGCAGTAATCATCTGCTGTCTGTGGCACTGGTGAGGCTGCAGCTTGGATGCTGTTTCAAGTTTCAGGCCCCTCAGTAGAAGGATGTTGAGCCACTGGAGTGTGTCCAGAGAAAAGTGACAAAACTAGTGAAGAGTCTAGGGCACAGCTCTTATGAGGAGTGGCTGAGGGAACTTAGGGTTGTTTAACCTGGAGAAAAGGAGGTTCAGGGGAGACCTTACTGCTTTCTACAACTCCCTGAAAGGAGGCTTTAGCAAGGCAGGGGTCAGTCTCTTCTCCCAAGTAACAATGACAGAAAACTTTATTTTCTTTGAATGCTCTGGATTGCATGTGACCTTTAAGGTCACTTAGTCCAATCCCCCCTTCAGTGAGCCCCTTCGACCTCTTCAAGGAAATGAGGTTGCTTAGAGCCCCATCCAACCTGACCTTGAATGTAGATGTCGTACCTAGGGACACAGGTTTGTGGTGGACTTGGCAGTGTTATGTTAATGGCTGGACCCAATAATCTTAAAGGTCTTTTCCAACCTAAATGATTCTATGATTCTGCAGCATTTGCATTATTAATTGAAGTACTTAAATTGTCAGGATTAAAAAGTCTCCAAAAAGAGCATGAATCCATAAAAGCTATGGAGAAAAATGCTTGATGACTAAGCAGCCATAGTACTGAAGTTTACATAGCTTACTGAACAGGTAGGTTCAAGTTACATTCAACATGCTATCAGTGTTGGGATACTATGACAGAATTAATCCTTTGTAATGTGTAGTGGCTGTAAAATACAATACTACATCAGTGTATTAACATAGGAGTTATAATAACTGACAGGAATACAAATAGAATTAAATCTATAGATATGTATGAAGTACAGCTTTCTCTCACCAGTCACAGCCAGGACATTCTTGAATTCCTTCTAAGGAGGGGAAAAAAAAAAAAACTACAAAAAAAAAAACCTTAATTGGAAACAGGCTTCTAAATGTTAAAGGGTTTTCCAATACATGGTGACACAAATGCTTTCTGACTTTTCAGGTTTTCAGTTCTGTTGGTTGTTACGATAACAAAGTAGCGGTCCAATGGGTATCATCTAAACGAGAGCAAAAAAAAAAAAAGTGTTTCTGGATTGTGTGGCTTTCTGTAGTTCAGTCTCTGAGCAGTTCCTCAGCAGTGAAGCCTCTGTCAGCACTCTGTGCAGGTGCTGGAACAGGCTCCTGCTCTCACCCAGCTTCTCGCTGCAGGACTTGGAAACAGTATGGGATTCGGGAGAGGCTGGGGCATCGTGCTGGAGAGGACATCCCTTAATTGCTGTCTTTCCATTTTCACTTAAGTGTGTTTATTTGTATTACTTGAGCAGCATCGTGAAAGGTTTGCCTTTGAGGTAAAGGGAAGAGCAAAAATAATCTCACTGGAACCCTGAGGTGGTGCCTGAGCTCTGACAGGCAGCCAGAGCACCGAGCACTAACTGTTCTCCAGCCCTGCGCCTCCCCGCACCGAGACGTGTCAGGCAGCTCGTAGATCAAATGTCACAAAAGACTAACATCATTCTTTTGTTCCACAGCAAACTGCCAACTAGAAATAGCCTAATTGACTGGGCGTATGGCAGGGGGACATGTTCTAATGAACATGTAGCTCAGAAGTCTGAAGAGGAGTGGACGTGCGTGCGCTGTACCCTAATAAACACGCCTTCTGCCGAAATTTGTGATGCCTGTTTGACTTCAAGGCCTGAAGGTATTGAAAGCTTGTCTGGAACCTCTACTGGGGAAAGAAGGGAGGATTGTGGTTTTGATGCAGTGTTTGGAACTGTAGAACTATCTTACTGTGAATCATGTTTATAACTAACTTACAGTCACATTTTGGGGAAATCTTACACAATCACGGGAAATGAATTGTCTTGAACCCTGAAATTGTCTTGTCCTTCAGCTTTGTGTGTATGTGTGGTAACCCTTTGTTTTGACTTGGGCAATGAGTGAGACAAAATGCCATTCTTTCAACTCTTTTTAAAATTAGAAGCTTGCAGCATGCCTGATAGAGAAATCACCAGGGGGCAGAAAAGTAATTATCATTCTTTCATGTGAACAAAGCAGTATATTTTGGTATCTTTTCCAAAAAGATGTTTGCTTTCTTGGGGGCCTAGTTTTTTCTCCAGGGATGATTCTGGACTTCTTACCTAAATTACTTGTTTGTCTCTTGCTGGAGGTTTTAATGCTGCTGTCTAGATCTGGTGGGCAGAAGCAGCTGTGAATGAGACCTAGAAAGGGATAGGAGGAATGAGTGAGTAACATGCTAGCTTTTCTCTCAATTTCTGTATAGAAATTTAGACATTAAGAAGGAATGAGTGAGGTGATGGACAGGCTCTCCATTGAGATTTGTAAAGAGGAGCTTTGTATTTTTTCACTTTCTGTAGATAAATTACTCTGTGGCGGGATTTACAGGAGTTGATTTGAATCAAGACTGTTGTTCCAAAACATTTTGAATTGCTGCCTATATTCTAAGAAACAAAGTGTAGACCTGTGCATGTGTGGCTTTTTAGGGATAAAGTTATTTCAATAACAATTCCATACTGAAACCTCTCAACCTCAAAAACTAATACTCCACTTATTTCACATTGTATAGTGAATTATTCAGTGAAGTGGCTGAAATTGCATACTACACCTGATTTCTTTATTTTTGTAGCTCCACTGCTGAAAAATTGAAACAAAAGGTATTTATAAACAATATGCAGGATTTTTGTATCTGAGAAGAATTCATATTTTTATGCAGGCTTCAGGACCTACCGTTAAAAGTGCACTGAATTTAACTGTATGACTCAAAGTATATATGCTGAAATTTGAATTAAAGATCACATTCCCATAGCTTTTGGTGGTACTTTGTGCCACACTTTCCAAAGTGATATTGTTTCTTAGAAGCTCCTGTGCTTCTTTAAAGTATTGCTTCATTCTAGTTCTTTCATGAATGGAGTGATGTGTGTGCAACTCTAACCGTACCGCAGCTGAAGTCCATTTATTCAGGCCAGGAATCAGCAGAAGTGTGTCTTTGTGCCTTAATGATACTTGTTGCCAGCAGCAGCTAATCCTGGATAAGTCTCCTGCAAAGTTAGTGCCAGAAACCTGCAAGCTTTAATCTGTCTGTAGACTCAGATTTACCAACTAACTTTTATCCTGGAATTAATACTGTCAGCTGAACTTTAAAATATATAACAGCATGTGCACTAAGGCTTTATTTTAAGCTTTGTGTCAAAACCCTTTACCTTCTCCTGTACTTTTAAGTTTAACTTGTTTAGTTATGTGCCCTTACTGAAAACATGCCTACAACTTTGAATATGTGCTAGACTTGGGGGAATAGTAGTACAAAAGTTTTTTAAAAGGGTCTTGGGTTTGCATCATAGGACTAGTATTTGAGAATATTTTTTTTTCAAAAAAACATTGTTTTGTTTACCTTTTTTCAGAGTTTTAAGATTCCTTGTCTTCTCACTTTGTTAATTTTTTGTCTTTTATGTTGTTTCAGAATTAACTACTGTCAATAGAAGTGTTTGAATTTTTGAGGACAGAATACTTGGGATGTTAAGTTAGTTGCTGGCCATACAACTGAAATAATTCTGTCTGTAGACAGAGATAACTATTTACTATTACATCTGAAAATTCTTGCTCTTTTGCTCAGTACAAAGCCAAGCTCCTATTCTTTCTTAAACAAATCTGAATGCAGTGGAACCAGAATGTTTTACTGTGCAGCAGTGACAAAATGGAAGGAGCCTGGAAACAAGTGTTGTTCAGAGTAGGGATTCTTACTTTGATTCTGAGTGAGAATGCCTTTGGAGAGAGTGGGCCCTTGTGTATGCTTTAGTTATCCTTTTTCTTCTGCTTAATTCCACTCTTCCTTGTATGGAGGGAAGATGTAGGAGGGAGACACATGCTGGAAGTGGTAGAAAAGGAAGGACTCTGGTTTTGAATGCTGTGGCTTCACAGCTACTTAACAAAGATGGCACATAGAGTCCCCACAGAATTTTTTTCCCCCTCTCTGATTCTTGAAGGAACATGCTGTTGTTCATTTCAGGAAACAGATGCAAAGCAAACCTCTGAACTGCTTGCTACTGAAGCCTCTTACAGTAAGGGACTGATAAGTTTGCATGCACACTGTGCTTGGAAAGGACAGGAACCCTGATAGCACTAGAAAACCAACAAAAGAATATTTCTTTATCGTGTCAGTTGCAAAACAGTACTTTAAAATGAATAATGTATTGCTGCTGGAGGGACCATACCCTGCAGTCTCACACTGCTGGGGCTATAAAAGGCTATTTTGAAAAAGTCAAATATTTTAATTGCTGTATTTGGGCCAAATTCAGTTTTGTACAGTTAATTCTCCAATAGCTTCAATTGACAGAGTACTATTCATACAATAGTAATGTTATCTTGAAACATGTTGTATGTAACTCCAAAGGTGTACCAGGTTTTTTTTTAAGGTAAGAAATTTGGTACTGTATCTGCTCTGTGACATGTTTTGGGATCTTTCAGGATGGTATGGATCTTTTAAGATGGTATGGTAAATTTACTCTTTTGCTTCCTGTATGACTTAAGAATACAGATCAGAAACATGATGTATCGCTCTGCACAGACAGATTATAACCAATAACTCCTTTTTCCTTGGTTCCAGAGACAGAGAATGTTGAAGATTCTGCAGCCTTTAACATAAATTTAATGAAGTACCCGTGTAACGATTTCAAAAAATCAAGCACAGAAATCAAGATCAATAGGAAAGCTGCGTTTGGAACTACAACTCTTGTCTTAACAGATCTTGGTAACAAAGCTGCTTTGAGAAATGATACTGAAATATCCCATGGGCAGTCTCAGGGTGTTGTTCCAAAGAGCAAGTGTAATCAAATCCAAAACGTTTACCAGTCAGGGGGAAGCACAGACAAGAATTGCTCAACACACGTGACGACTGTGGCTTTGCCCTCCTGGCAGAAACATCTCTCTTTCAAACATGTACAGAAGAAACAGAAAACGGATCATACATCCTCAGTTCACCAATATAATACAGCAAGCAGGTATGTAGTCTAAAATGGAAACAAGTCTCTTTATAATCCCATTAACCAGCTTTATTCGTGAAGAATAATGGAATAGTGTGCTGTTGGGTTCAGACATTGTTGTCTTGAAGTTAAGTCGGGCAGAAATCTATTCTTGGGTAGTTAAAATTACACTCGGATTTCCAAAGCAGTGAATGAGGTTGGCTGGCACTGGAAAAGTTCTGATTTTTGGCACCTGGCCAGTACTGCTGTCAACAAAACAACTGTTCATAGTTGTTCAGCTGTTCAGCTATTCCCATGGAATACGACAGTGTAGCTCTAACAGGTCAATGAGAACAGTCTATGTAGTTGTCTGGTCTTAGCAGTCTAGTTGCTGTCTGCTGGGAGAGATCTTGAAATCATTGTGAAAGATGAGAAAAGGAAGATAGCTGAATAAATATATTCTAATGGAAGTTATTTGTCAACTAGCAGTTTTCAGCAATCTTGCACGATACACTCTGCACAGGTACCTTGTTGAATGTTGAATGTTTTCTCTTAACTTTCCTCCCCATCCTATATAAAACTATTTCAGCGCTCTACCCATCCTGAATTTTTATTTACACAGCTCTATTCAGACACATCCATTGCCTAGCTAAGAGAAATGTGAGAACCTGTTTGGGTTGTCAGGGAAAAGCTGGGCAGACATACCCAACAGCAGTGAGAGTGCAAGGTGGCTGTCACTCATGGTAGTAAATTGTGCAGGGTGAAAGTGAAATATTAATCATATGCTACAAAAGTATTGGTTATGTGTCTGTTCTGAAATAAATTATTTCTTGTGTTGTTGAAGCATCAGTTGTGAAACAGGATCTCAGTAGTTGGCTAGGCTAGGCTATGTGAATATACTTTCTCTGCTGTCTCAGGAGAGGATGTAGGCAGGATAATTGGCAATACAGAGGAGTGCAAAAAGGAAATGAGACAGTATCAATCATGGTAACAGTTAGAGCAAATCATCAGCTTAAGTGTTTTAAAAAAACCCCAACAAAAACCTCAACACTTTGTGACAAAAACTAATTTTAAAAATGTTTTTTCTTTTATTGTTGAAATAAAACTGCTGATGTCTGCAGTTTTCCAGACACAAAAGAGAGCATAAAACTCCTAACATGGTAGTTTAATAAGAATGAATTATTTCTTTTTTCATTAAGATTTCATCACTGCTTTTCTGCTCTGTAAATATATTGGAAAGATATGCTTCAGAGTATTAATTTTTTCATGTTACTGTTTTAAAATAAAGCCTTGTCTATTGCATTCAGATAATCTCAATCACGAGGAAGAAACTTTATTCCATTCAGAGAGCACTGTTCCACCCCCTCAGTGGGATCATTACTTCTCTGAATATGATTTGGAGCATTATGGTAACCTTTTAGTAAAGAGGAGGGGGAGTCTTTCCTGTGAGGCAGACAAATACCTTCAACCTGGAGTAATTACATGATATTCTTTTTCTCACTGAATCCAGAATGCTCTTAGAATGCTGGAATTTGGGGTGGGCAGTATCATAGTGGTAGTAATGTTTATTTTTTTGTAGATTAATTTGAATACTTTGAAATACTTTAAAACATGGGTTAATGCTGGGGAGACCTTGTGTCATACCTGGAGGAAAAGCACACAGTCTTTTGTGTTTGCTACTAGCAGTCGTTCCTCTCTAAAGGCACAATAGGCCCATAAGAGAAGGAAGTTCTCTGGATGCCTGTGGAAAGGTAGGACGAGTGAGCTGTTGGAAGAGTGGGGGAGAGAGCGTTCTCTGGCTGTGGTGTTGGTAATCCCTTTAACATTACCCAGGAGTCCTCCTGTAACCTGTCCTTACAGCCCATCTGCAGCTGCTGCGGCAGGTGACGCTGGCGTGTGGAGCAGGGGCCGCCCCCGCTGCGCCGGGCACGGCCGCCCCTGCAGCCTCCGGCTGGTGAGGAAGGAGGGAGGGAACAGAGGCCGCCGCTTCTACACCTGCCCCCTACCCAGGGAGACTCGCTGCGACTACTTTCAAGTATGTATGAGCCTTCAAAGCCTCTTTGCTAACAAGCACTTGTTCCTGCAGCCTCCTTGCCCCAATAATCTCTAACTGTGGACAGGTACAATCCGTTTAAAATTTGAGGTAACTTCACTTTTGCACACTGAATTGAACCTGAGAGCATAACAGTATTTAGAAACTTATAAGTTTTAGTTACTTCTCTTACTGCTGAGAATGCACCTGCTTGTGCAAACACTCTTAATCTGCCCCTGTGTGGTGTAAAACAGATGCACGTAGCAGCAGTGTTGGTTTGAAGGGACCTGTACAAGTTTAGATCAACCTCTTGCTTGAAGGAGGACCATGGCAGATTCTATATCTAGACAGCAGCCATGTTTCTGTCTAGCCAAAATCCTGAAAACCTCCAAGGGTGAAGGTTCTGTAATGTGCCTGGGCAGCTGCTGCACTAACACCTAACCTGACCTTCCTCGCTGCAGCTGGTGGCCTTTGCTCCTTGCTATGAGTCTATGTGGCTGAGAAGAGTTTGACTCAGTCACCTACCACAAGGTAGTTATAATGAACTCGAGACAGTAATTATTGTAATGCCTTAATTTGAAGAGAATCTGTGTTAAGATCATTTAAAGTTAAAATGCAGTTAAAGTGCATGCAGTTAAAATTAACGTTAAAGAAAAATATAAAATGAGTGATTGCAAAAGAGACAAAGTTATCTTAACTACTAGGAAGAGTTTCTTCTAGGGCATCCCCTGTAGATCTGTTTCTCTTGCCAATTTTAAAATAAGGAATTTGTAGCCATTGCATCTCCTAAAGCTGTCCCTAAACCCAGTTTCTTTTGGCAGTGGGCTGACATGAATTTTCCATTTTGTAACCATGGCAAGCGATGCGTTATGAAGACTGTGTTGAAGATTGGTCCCAATAATGGAAGAAACTTTTTTGTATGCCCTCTTGGGAAAGAAAAACAGTGTGGCTTTTTCCAATGGGCAGAAAATGGGCCAGAAAATATTCTCTGAATGGGATAAAAGGTAGTTCTTTGATGTCAATGTTCTAGTTATCTGCTCCTGAGGATGTCAGAAGTGCATACAACTTTCCTAGTCATTTCCCTTTTGGTTTTGTTTTGTCTTTCTCTGTTTACTGGCTAATTAATAAAATAGTTCCAACAATGTAAAGAACTGCAGCTTCTGAAACAAATTCTACATAATGCTTTACAAATTAAACACTTCTGCTATGCTGCATAGTACTCTGAAATAAACATGTAGATCACAATATATTGTGACATACTATTATATTCGTAATAAAAAAAATTGAACTGTACATGCCACTGGAGTTTGACAGCACTGTATACTTTCAAGCATATGTAATTTATAGAATGGATAAATGAATGTAAATTAGTATTTTAAATTAGTAGACTTTTTCATAAATGTAAGCATGTATTTAATAAAAGTGAATGAAAAGTCAATATACTTTTTTTTAATACCACTTAATGCTTTATTTCCTTAGAGCTTAAAATTAAACAGCAACGGACCATACACTTTGAATGTTACCATAATTGAATGTGTGGCCCTGCTGGATTTGGAAAACAAAGACAAAAACTACCCTAAAATCAGTAACGTGACTCTGCAGTTTTCTTAATCAGATACTTCAAATCCAGGTTTTAACATTTTATTCTACTTGCTACTGAACTTTTTTCCCTCATCCATGTTTAACATAATAAAATCATACCTCTCAGGTGGTTAAAAACTCAGTTCACATTTCCTTGTCTTATCATTATTTGATGAAGGAGAGGGAAAAATAAATAGAATATGGTAAGCTATGAGAAACAAAATTCCTCAGGTCTTTGCAGCATGTAGTATAGGCAACAAGGAAAATGAAATTTAATGGAGGTATGGCCATAGCTTCATAAATTATTGAATCACAGTCAGTTTTTAAAGAAAGTAATGGCAAGTAGTGTTGCTTCTCACCAAAAATGTGTGAAACAGGTTTAAAACCCTCCTGGAAATGCTCCTTCAGCCTGTGGAAATACTTACTTAATTGTGCAATTTCTGAGAGCTAACTTTTTTCCCTTTTTTTTTTTTTTGCTTAGTTGATTTGGTTTTTTTGTTGTTTTGAGGGAGGACTACTTAATTTTCCAGAAGAATTTGTAGAACTTCAGTCTAATTTAAATCATCCATGCTATGGTGTCAGTGAAACCAGTTAATTCTTGACCAAACCAACACAAATTCAGAGGCTTTTTCTTCTTCTTTTCAGTAACCTTTGAAATCTTTTAAAACTTTGTGAAGGAAGCACTTTCGAATCAGATGGTGGAAACTATAATCTTTATATTGCTTAATGGACTCTTTCCAAATAATGCATGCCTTTTTCATGAAGCCTATTTAAAGTGGGATACAGTACTCCACCTAAAACCAAATCAAGTCACTTCACATGGTGAAGACTGACTTTCCAGTGCCATCTTCTTATGTGATGCTTCTTACAGTGACATGTCACTGCTAGCTTGTGCTTGTACATCTAAATCTTTAAAACTGCTGTGTAACCAGTTCCTCACTTGCATTTGTACAATTGTTTACTGTGATGAAGTGCCTGATTATAAGTTGCACATCTTTTTGGCTATCTTGCACAGGGATAAATCAAGTCATCAGTAATTCTGCAAACATGAAAAAATCTAAAAGAAATAAAACCATTTTTGATCACTTGCCTTCAACAGATATTAAGATCTTACTGAGGCTGGAAGTTAAATGACTTTTTTAAAAGTTTGACACTTCAAAGATAACAGTTGGCTATTATGCCTTTTTATCTTAACACCCAGACAAAAAGTGAGTATCTGTTTACCTATAAGACATACAAGTTTTAAAGTATTCACTGCTTTTATTAGCTAGTGCAAACACGTTCTTTTTTCTATTATATTTCTAGAGTGTGTTGTATCTTTTTTAAAAAGTGCATAACCAAATGGAAAGTTAACCTTGACAGTGTAGCAGTGATGTACCCTCTGAAGCTGCAAAAATTGACTTCTTCATTGAAATAAGTACTATGTTCTGCTTAAACTAAGGACTAAAGCAAGAAAAAGTGTTTAAAGTAAATTATTTTGACCTCATCATTGGCTCAGCTGTTTAATAAGTCATTTCTCCCAAAGGTTGAAATAATTTAAAAGCATGAGAAATAACTTACCTTAAAAAATCTTACTATTACAATAGAAGTTTCATCTTGAATAAAAGTTGTGTTTTAAAAAGTGACTTTCTGTATGGCCCCATTTCTGCTACTTTCAGCCTAACTACAAAGGTTATCATGCAATAACTTCACATTTATCACCCCAAACATAATGTAGTAGGCTGGCCAGTTGAAGTAGCCAGAGCTGCCTGCAGATCAGTAGCTTGAAAAACTGTATTTCACTATTTACCTGCAAGATTTGAGATTTTTATAAAGTCTCTGTGCATGAAGTTGCAATAAAACAGGTTAGGAATTCTAAGCATCTAAGTTTCTCTAAAGATATTTCAGAGTGATTGTGTCACTCATTGATACCACTGTTTTGGACAAAGTTGCTTCAGGAAATTGATATGTAGCTCAAATTCAGGCAAGAGATGCCACCTAGCAGGTGAAATGTTTGAGAGGAATTCTGAAATGAATAAAAAATTTAGTAAGTGTAAAGAGGAACTAAAGCAGGAGCCACTGGGCAGGGTATGGCTATTAAAAGAAGTGCAACATGAAAGTTTAGTTTATAGAGTAATGATTATTTGATAAACAAAACTTTAAATTTAGAAATTAGATTATCCCCCTAACACTCAGACAGCTCTGGAGCTAGTACCTCTGCTGTCACAAGGTTCAGGAAAGGGAACACTAATATCAAGGGGAACTGCTCTTTTACATTGCTATTATACTAGACTTTAAATAACAAGATCATATATTATTTAATTCTAATATCATGTCTCCCCTATAAATACAAGCCATTTAAACTATAAACTTAAGAAGTTTGTAGGGTTTGTTCCGGGCATCTTTTGAAGGGATGATACATTTGTATCATCCTATATTTGCTTACCATATATCTTGATTGTATAATACCATAAGGTGAAGAAAGGCAGAAATGGAAGTAGCCCAGGGCAAGGATGCCCTGAGCTCATCGTGGTGAACTGGCATGTGGAGGAATCTTGACACAGTCACACTACAGTGAACGAGGAGACTAAGCAAGAGATGGTGCATTCTAACTCACCAGCTGCCTCTGGACCACTTACTGCTTTTACAAACACTGATTTTTAAATTTTGTAACTTTTTTTTTCCCCCCCCCATGGAATCACTTAGGTTGGAAAAGACTTTTGAGATCATTGATTGCAACCATTAACTTAATCCTCCCACATCCACTGCTGTACCATGCCACTAAGCACCATATCTGTACAACTTGTAAACACATCCAGGGATGGTGACTCCACCACTTCCCTGGGCAGCCTGTTCCTGTGCTTGACAACCCTTTCAGCAAATAAACTTTTCCTAGTATCCAACCTGAATCTCCCCTGGTGCAACCTGAGCCATTTCCTCCTCTTATCCCTTGTTACTTGGGAAAAGAGAAGGACTCCCACCTTGCTATAACCTCCTTTCAGGAAGCTGTAGACAGTGATATGGTCTCCCCTCAGCCTCTTCTCCAGGCTAAACCACCTACGTTCCCTCAGCTGCCCCTCACAGGACTTGTGCTCTAGAGCCTTCACCAGCTTAGCTGCCCTTCTCTGGGCCTGCTCCAGCACTGCAATATCTCTTGAAGAGGACAGAGCTATGTAACTTGTTTAACAAGCTGTGGCTGACAGCTGCTTATAAATTTTTGACAAAAAAAAAAGCTGGCAAGAAAACTTATCTTGGAATAGAACCCTCTCTGTCTTTCAAAGAGAGTCTGCAACCAAGGGTGCAAAACAGTGGACAGTTCTTGAAAGGATCTCTTCTTTTTGCTCAAGATAAAAGTCCTGATTTTTGGCTTTTGCCCTAATAGTTTAGAAAAGTGTTTTTGTCATCACATCGATTCATCTATCACAGTGCAAATGATGGAGCACTTATTTCAGATTCATGTCTGGCTTACTCACTTTAATGGCGCGTGTTGCATACAATCAACTACTGAAGGCTAAAAAGGGTAACAAAGCTCAAGTTAAAAGAGGGAACTGTCTATCCCAAATATTTTCTGTCATTTATATTCCTTATGGAAAACCAATGTAAATACCTTTAAAATAAAATACAGCCCTTTTTAAAGGCCTTGGGTTTCTGAGAGAGCTGCTACTTCAGCCTGCCCCTAAACAGAGCTGAGGGAAATGGGAGGTACTGCTGGTGTCTGCAGGAGGCTGTTGGGACTGACAGGCTCACACAGACTCCTTGGACTAGATGTGTTCTGAACAAGGTGGTGATGGCAGTTGTGTAATAAGAAAGGAGTCTTCCAGTAAAGCTCAATTTAATTGCTCTTCTTACTTAATTTTTGAAAGCTTTTTTATCCGATAACGTTACAAAGTGATAGCATGACACGTAACAGAAACCTGTCTTTAACCTTTGTTGAAAACACTTCTTCTGGTTTTATACACCACAAAGCTAACCTCAGAAAGAGAGGATACATAAAACCATTTTTAGAGGATCAAATCAAGGTCATGCAAGTTGGGAAGTAAATTTTTAAACCTAGGAAACGCTAATGCCATACTCTGTTTCTGCTTTATGGTAGCACATTAGTTGCTGTTTAAGTTTAGGGAGAGTATCTCTTTCACTTTGAAAGTAACATTTATTTTCCAATTTGTGACATTCAGGTTAGAATCCACTGACTTTATGCCCAATTTAATGCCTTTATACCTGTCATACTTTTAGAACCAGCTATTTCTTAAAGGCAGACATACATTTTTCCTAATCTGTACATGCACAACTACCTTTCGATGGCAATACAAATTCAGCAAAAAGATTGAGGGCTGAAGCAATGGTCTTATATTAGTAATTCACTGAGGGAGAAATAAATTTACACTGAAAATAGGCACTCAGGTTTTGAGACATGATTATGTCACAGCTGTAG